GCTAACTGGGTATACATACTCAGTATTTTATGTACTATATTTAGTTGTAGTTCTTACAAATTTTTGTAAGCTAAAAGAATATATAGAAATCACCTCTGATATTATAGCAGGAAATGGTTTGTCTATCATGACACCAGCAAGATTTGAGGTGAAAAATTCTTTATCTATGGGTCATATTACTAAGCCATTATGCACACCAATTCTTACTTTAGATTTATTCTGAAGTTCAAGCTCTCATAACCCACCTATGAAGATGATTACTATTATTATTATTTCACCAATGGGGAACAGCAAATATGATACATATTGCAAGAATGCAATTTCACAGGCTTCCAACTTGCCATTTTTCAAGGCAATTTGTATCTCAGGAATTATGTTCATTCATTTAATTCTCCAGTCTAGTCTTGGCAATGCTTTTAGTTGGTCAATGGATTTCAGCACAAGGTGGAATATGAAAAATATGCTTTAATTCAACCAGTCTTTAATATTTGCATATGCAATCTGATCACATACATATATTCATATATCTGAGCAGCTTAACACAAAAACCACTGTTCTTCCTTAGATGAAGTTATTTATTTTGTTAATTTAACTCTATTCCTTTTTTCTTTGCAAACCTAAAAATTTTTTTTTGCTAGTGAAAAAAATTATGTTTTAACTAGATAAAACAGGTTGCAAATACCTATTTCCTTCCCTTGACACTTTAAAATTATAAAAACTCAGTAAGATTGCAATTTCACATGAAGTTATCTTCTGAGTAAACATTGTCAGGATTGCACTTCAAACGTCTATACAATATAACTCATCTTTCTGATTAGAGATATATTTCTGTTAATTTTCAAAAGCAGGGTGTACAACATCTATGGGTAAAAGGACTACAACACTCTAACAGAAGTTAACTAATGATCCTGTGAAATCACCAGATAGGACACAATCAACTTTTTCTGAACTTGTTTTGGTTTTAGAAAGGCTTTAAAGGTATGTATGGGAGCAGATCTCTCAAAGGCAAATTGTCTTACTCTCTATTAATCTCTCCCAAATCAAAATTAAGCCATTTTGCCAATGAATTTCTCCAGCATAATCTTGATTGCTGCAAGTGACCTATAGGACGTCTATCCTTAACCTAAAAAAATAAGCATTTTTTCCCAAAAATATGTGAAGTTTCTTTTATGCGGATCTATTATGCCTAAAGCATGGGAATATTAGCACATATCCAATAATGGCATAAAATATGAAACATGCAATATCCCAAACAAAATCATGATGTTATATTTCTATACCAGGAATTTTTGTTTCTCAGGATTTGTTGTGATCATACATTCTCATACCTACATTTTCATGTTAGTTACATAACAGAGTAGTATTATTTTGAGAGTTCATTCTTAATTTTATTTCTGAACAGCAATGGGAAGTCAGCATTCAGCTGTCCCTCAAATTCTTGGACTTGGAACCAATTCATAGTACATACATGCAAAGTCCATATATAATTTTTAGCTTGCTTGCTTTTATTTAAAGTTTATTACTACAAGCTAATTCAGGTCATAAACTGGCCTTATTTCTTGCCTATGCAAAAAGATAACAATATCTTACAGGTAAATCTTGCAAATGTTTCTATAGATAGCAAAACAGAAAAAATATAGAATAATATATTTAACATATTTGCATGAATACTTTTAGCAACAAGAAGATATTTCACCTTTTGCTGAAGCTATTATAGTTGATGCAAACAAGTATAATCTTAAACTTTTTATTGGAAAACAATGAATATAAATTAACATAAAGAAAATAATGTAAATTGTTCCTTTAAGCTTTATGTTGCAAACTGCAGACATTTACCATGGAATATTGATGGAATACATATTTATTTTCTGTACAGACCACCACAGATTCTACCAACTTCAATTGAAGCTATACAGGATTACACAAACATTCATCGAAATATTTCATCCCCCTTTTTTTACAGAACCTTGAATATTTATATTCATCTTTAAAATGCTCAGTGGTACTCAACTGGTAAAACATAGCAGTCTAGATAGGACATGGATTTTTTTTAAAAAAAACATAAATGAGCAGATAAATAAGAGAATATTTTTTAATATATATAAATGTCTTTCTTAGACAAAATTGTCCTTTTAGATCTATCATGATGGGACCCACACTTTTTGAAAATAATGGAAGCCACAGGACCATTATTCACTAACTTATATAACATTTTATCAAGTATCAGTATATAATCCTGATTTATTTTAAAAATCCTTTTGTAGGCAACAAGATTTAAAACCATATTTATTTCTAATTTGCTAAAAACATGCTTCTGAAACCATTTCTTTTACTTCAGTTCTTAAAGATTTATTCTGTTTAGGCTAGTTTCTTCCAATCCTCTTATTTGGAATGCTTGCTTGATGGTTGCACTTAATTTCCCCTTCTCTTGTTTTTTTACCCATTCTTATTTGTTCTTCTCCCCCCAACCTCTCTAATTCTATCCACTTCAATCTTTTCAGAGGGAGACAACCCCGCCCCTAACCTCCAAACATTTTTTAACATTCTTGAGTTCTTAAAACATCTCTGAGGTTGTTTTAATTAACTCTTTCCTTCACCAATAGAATTTTGCTGCTTTTTAGAGACAAAATTGCAAATTTTCTCCAACTTTTTTTCTCTTTCAATAAATGTTGAACTGAAAGCACTCCTGTCTAACATACAGCCTTCTTTTTCTAAATCTATGCATGTTCAAGTTGCAAATTAAAGCACACTTTTTTGGAAAAGTTCTTTTGAATCAATGCAACTTTTTAAAATTTAAGATTGAGTAAAATTATCATAACCTAAAAGTTATTTATAAAAAAGGAAAACATTTACCTCAAAATGCATTTGTTAGCTAATTTTGCTAGCTATACGATCTCAAATTTGTTTCTTTTGATGAATGGCATACAAATTTTAAAAATAAGTAAAATCAAATTGTATTTTTCAAGAGCCAATTTAATAAAACGAAGAAAGGTTTCTGAAATAACTTTCAATACTAATGAAGTTAAATTTTAAGATATACTAAATGCTTTTTTTACCATTTTTGCATCTGATTCAATAAATATTTAAGCTAACCAAAACTATTCTCCTTAGACAAGCTGAATTTCTCATTTTCTAATTCAGCCATCTCCAACTTGTACTTTCTTGACATAGTGAACTAAAACTCCCTGCTTGCATGAATCACATCAGAAGGGGATTCTGGGAACTACAATTCTATGCATCTGGAAACAGTTTGAACAAGGCTCAAGAATGTTAATCATGTTTTTTTAATGAAATAAGCAGAGCATGATTTATTTTATATTGATAACTTGAAAGATATAGAGAGCTATTCCTATGTATTTCTTTACCTAAATTAGTGGCAATATTTATAAGTTTTGATAAGTGGTAGAAAACATATCTCACTAGATACATTATTATTGAGACTATTCTAAACATTCTGAATTAACTAGTTCCTCCTCTGGTTATCATTCCAAACAGGAAAATCAAGTCCCATGACAAGTTGAAAAAGACACTCACACATACTTGAAACTCCACCTAGCAATCCAGTAGAATCAACCATCTATTTTTATAAGAATTAAATATAAATTCTCTTGGAAGAAATCATTATAGAAACTTCATTATATTTGAGCACAGGGTTCAAAATGTATCAAGGAAATCTATAAATATTAGCATATAGTAAATGATATGATCTAAAATTTTGGGCAGATTTTAAAATCTTGAATCCAATCATTATAATTACTGAGAAGGATTTGTTAATATTAATCTAGGAAAATATCTAATTTTTTTTTTGAAAACTTATCTCTTATATTTATAGGCATTGAAGACAATGCACTAAGTACAAAATGCAATTGATTAATTTACATATATTGGTTGATTTCAGCATTATAAAAGAATCAAGAGTAAACTTCCTTTTCTTCCTCCTCCTCCAGCTACCAATCCCCCCACAATATTTAATTTTTTTTCACAGTGGAATTGGCTTCCTGAATATATTTCTGTTAGACCTCCTTTAACACCATACGTACTCTATATAAAAAGCTACAAAGACTGTTTACAAATATTATTGTTCATCCATTATACTAAATCCACACTACTGGTTTAATAAATTAATCAAACACATTTTGGCACTCCTGCAATGTCTCAGAAAACCTGGGGTTTTTTTTAGTCTTCCAGCAATACATTCTATATAAGGTTTGGAAGTGCAAGAAGTATGAGAATCAGTGTGAACACAAGATCAGGAAATTGTGATGTCAATCATGCACAAAAATAATCTTTTGAATTACATTAACAGGCAGCTATCCTTCCCCCCATTAGATTCTTCCCCCAAAAGAATCACAATTTCTAATATTAATATATTTTGTACATTTTATGTTCAATTTCTAGGATTTATATGACTAAGGAGTAATTGAAGGAAAAAGCATACTTAGTGAAAGCTTCCAAAATAAAACTAGATAAGCAATATAATAAACAAAAGATAAAAAACGTATAAAATGCAATAACACTACATAAAAACATATACACAAAAATATGAAGTGTTTACAGAAATAAGTAGAAAGTAAGTATTTTTTCATGTCCCAAAAAATGGGCCAATAAATTTTTAATTTGCTAAATTTTAACAAGAATTTAAAATCAAAAAGGTTGATTTAAAAAAACACACACCATAGCACAAGCAAGTCATATGTTGAAATTGGCATAAGTAACATTGCAATTTAAGCCAAAACACAAATTATGAAGAGTAATAATATCTATTCATATTTAATTGTTTCTTTAATGCATCCAAAGTAATTTGGGGTGAAAAGAAATAAACAACAAGTTTACCCAAGGCTTTTAAAAGTGTGTTTGTTTTTCAAGTAATTTAGTTCAAGTAAATACATTCTTCTTGCAACTTAGTTTTGTTTATACCAGCTTAGCATTTTTAACACATTTTATCTTATCTGTCACATTTCAACATTGATAAATTCAAAGAAAACAAATAACTGGATTACCTTTGTTTTTTAGGGACTGAGTGTTCAATCTCAAGTTGTTTCCCATGCAACTCCACTTTGCCTAAAAATACAAGTTTGCTTTTTTAAAAAAATATACTGAAAAAGGAAAAGGTGGATATCAATGGTCATATATAATTCAACTTCTACTCCTTCCCCTACTCTTCATGTTTTAATTCAACGGAGGGGGGGGGATTCAGGTGCATTTTACCATAAAAACCCCTGCCTAACCTTCTTATCTTTCTACTCTTAATTAAAAAATAATAATGGATTTCAAATGGAGAATAGATGATTAAAAAAATGAAACACATTTTTTCAAGGGCAACAATTTAACTCATTTTCATATACACATTACAAGATCTGGTTCACCAGGGAAAGAAAGAAAAATACCAGGAATGGTAAGGCCTATTCCGATGTCCAACTTGCTTGCCTTTCAAGATAATTCATATCATCTTTTCATTTTTTTAAAAGAAGATAAATTAAAACATTATGTAGTTGAGAAGAAGGTGACATTAAAAAGGCCCAGAACTCTGATGTGGTGTTTGAAATAGGGAACAAAACATCTGGTCTCAGCAAAAGTCAACATTAGGTTGCTCTGCTAGTTCCGTCTGCTTCTCTTGTCTCAAATCTCTAAACAGCATGGCGACCTTCAGGCTAATACACCCATCACATGCCCCAGGAAACCCCTGTTTAAATCAAAATGGCCAAAGTCCAACACCTCCCCTCCTTTTTCCCCACTTCCCACTCTGAAGTACCACACATGCTTAAAATGCAAAAATACAACACTGGATTGCTTGATAAATCCCAAAAGGCATTGAAAGAACGCGGAGTGGGGGAGCTTTGATCCCAAAGAAGATATTAAAGTGATGGAGAGTTTTATTTGTTAAGAGATGACTAATTTGGGGAGGAAAAATGGGGTGGGGGTTGCTTTCTGAAGGGAAAAAAATCACCCATTCCCCTACATACAGACAAATGGAATATTAATTCAAGGTTTGCCAAATGAGATTTTGTTTATAGGAAAGGCCTGTTTTATGTAATATGCTAGTAGAAGAATAGGGGTACTTTATTAAGTGAGGAGGACATTTTGGCTGGTTAATAAAAACAAGAGTCCTCTAGAAAGCCTATGGAAGTTGATAAGAAATTGTAGGCCCAACAAGTTAAAACACTCGCCACCTCGTTCAATACTCGAGGAGAAAAGTGGGAGGGGGAAATCGAAAGATTGACCCCCTCCCAGTGGTTGAAGGGAAAATACGAAACGAAAGTAACTTTCATTGATGACTACAGAGAGCTAAAGAAAGAAAGGGCGGAAGCACGAGTACGAGCAAAGTGTGGCTGCCTGGTCGCATCTTTGTACACCACGTTTTACGAGTTTTTGCACACACACAAAAACCGGCCCGCTAGTATTTGCGGTTCTGAGTGATAGTATGCGTTTTATAAAATTATGCTGGTTTGCTTTTTTTTTTTTTTGTAAAAACAATTGTTCATTTCAAAATCCCAAAGGCTTCCAGAGGAAAAGGGAAAAAAAGAGATGAAAAAGATAGAACGAGCGAGCGATAAATCCATTGGCTTACCAGAAAAAGTTTCGATGGCTTTCATAGCCCATTGCTCATCTGGGCAGTCGACAAAGGCGTAGCCAGACTTCACCAAGAACTGGCCTGAGAAGGATATTTTGTGGTCGTTGAAGACTTTCTCCAGATCCGCCGGAGTCACGTTCTCGTTGAGGTTTCCAATATACAGCTTGTTCATGGCTGATGCGTTTTGCACAAAATGCTGGGTAGGTCCAAAACGGGAGTGAGTCACGGGAGGTGGGAGGGAAGGAAGAAAATAACTCACATACACCGGGTGGGGAGAGACGGAGACGAGTAGGCTTTCCGAAACTTTTAACAATTGCTTTATATTTTAAAAGTTTCTTATTCTATGTTGGGGGCCTAGCAAAGTAAGAAAAACCGGCTATTTTGGCTGTGGGAAGGAAAGGGGGAGGGGGATAATCTAAGAGGAAAGAGGGGGGAATGTTCCCTGTTTTGCAGAATCAATGGGGCCGGTTGATTTGGATGCAAGTTCGTATGGCGGGCTTGGGAAAATGGCTCTTTTTTTTCCAGTGGCCCCCCAACTCCTTTTGAGTCGCAACTCATGTGTGTCGCACACGCGCGCGCACACACATACACGCACACCGAGAGAAAGAGGCAAAGGACGTCTCCGACTGTGAGGCAGGACTTAGCGCCGCCCCTAAATAAAATCGACCTGGAAAAATGAGTGAAAATGTTTGCAAGAGGAAGCCACGTGGTGGAACCAAAAAGGGGGCGGGGCACACTTTCTACACATAGAATACTCCTATTCCGAGGCATGTTGCCTTTTTCTCAACCTTACTGAGTTTTTTTATTTGCAGTTTCCATCGGTTCTTGTCCTGCGATGAAAATGTTTTTCAATCGAGCGCATTTCTTCAGCGAAGCGCAGTTGTAGGACGCTAATTCCTGGTTTCCTCTCCCTGCTAGGAGGACCACAGCCCAGCCTCCCTCGCAGACCCCTCCTGCTTTTCTGGCCTGCTCTTCCACTTTCCCCCCCAGCTTCTTTGGATGAGATTTTCTGTGTGTAAACTTAATCGGAGTTCTGCTTCCCTAGAAAGTAAAGACAGCGAAGGGGGTGGAAGGTGACGCTCAGTGTGTGGGCGCATCAGACCCGGACTTTTATTTGCTGTTTTTCAGGCTTGGGATCACGTTAGTGAGAAGGGATTTTAAAAAGTCGGGATTGGCCAAATGTAATTGTGGGAATAGGTGACGCGGGACAAAGGGTATGTGAAGGTGAACCTCCTTTATCGATGTAAATTGAGAGACGCGAGTCTTCAAGAACTAAAATCAGTACAGTTGGAACTTGGGATGTAGGAGAAAACAGCTTGAGTGCTTACAAGTTGATCTTTATTTACGCGTGCCACCATTTTAGTGTTGACCACAACACTAAGGTAGAAAAGCTTTTCCACTTTTGTAACGAATAGTTGCAAATGCCTATAAAGTTTCTGCGCGAAAGCAAGCAAGAAGAGATAGCGTCTGGAAGTTATTTCCGTACCGGCACGCCACGGTGTTCCTTTGGAACCACAAGGCGATTTCTTAAAACCGTTGGGTTTTTTTTCACAATCAAGAGAGGCTTGGCTTGGAGGTCCCCTTTTTCGCCTCAAATACCGACGTTTAAAATGGGAGGAGAGATGGAAAATCTTGTTCTCTCACTCCTCTCATCGGAATAGATAAAAAAAAACCGCTAGACTCGCCCTATACCTCGTTCCTTCTAACTGCCTCAGCCTTACGACTGTCCTGTTTTTCCGCACCTTAAATTTGGAGGGCGAGAGTGCTGATTGGTTGGTTTCTTGCTTCATCAACTCTTTACTCCCCGACCAAATAATACAAATACTTTAAAAGGAAGGGGGGATGACAAGAAAGGAGGGGCAAGGGCTTCCGAGATAGGCGCACAAACACTCGCTTGGTTCCACGAATGGACATTAGTAAAAGATCTTGAAAATAATTATATATTTCTCCACCAACCAAGGGCGGCGAGGAAAGCCGCTTCCGCTTAACCCTTGTGCTGCGCGAGGCAACATGTGCACCTTGTCTCCCCCACCCCCTTGAAGCGCCCATCCATCTTCGGGGGAGGAGGCGAGTCCAGTTATTGAAAAAGGCGCTTTGGTTGGCACAAAAAGGGGAGGTCTGCGGAGAGCCGTCTTATTGATCCGCGAGACGGAGGAAAGAAAATGTGTTGCGCGCCAAAAAACATTTTGAATTCAGCTTTTTACAATCCAGTTGGATAGCACGCCTGTCCAGAAGCGTCCCATTTTGTGCAATGGTCCAAGAGCTTTTAAAGACTGCTGTTTAGCGTTGCGGTACAATACAAGAAAGTCCCATGAATTCTTTAGGGCTTTCTTGTTCCTACGCAGGTAGAAAAATCGCGCGGCTTTCTTCGCATCCCACTTTGGCGAGCTGAAGGAAGCCGACAACATCCAGGCAGAACAAGGACGCTTTTCTGAATAGGAGCGGAGGACAAAGGGGAAGATGGTGGATGCAACCCTCCTAGCCGCTACCCCACCCCCAGCCTCACTTTTAATGCTCTTCCATCTTCTCAAGGAGGAGGGGATGGAATGAAAGGATTTAGTCACGGCAATAGCTAAGTTGCCTCTGAAGAGGCGCCAACTGTCCCTCAGCAACGTGGGTGCCTGCCATTATCAAGCAGAGATGGAAATCTTTAAACTAAAGCATGCCAGTCACAACCCACCAATCCAGAGACTGGCAGGGGGAGGGGCGGGGAAGGGAAATAGCTGGGGGGATGGGGAGCTTGCATCGTCGGAATGTGCTGGACCTTTAAATGGCTGCATGCTCTCTTCCAAAAAATCGGCTAGAGTAAAACTTACATTTGGATTCTTGATTTGCACAGGGCTTATGAATGGAAGACTTGAGTCCTTATAATGAACTCGCAGTGAGGTTGCCAGAGGTTGGTTGCTTTGTTTTGTTTTAAAGCAAAACATGACTTTAACCAAAAATCCCATTACAACATATTGAGAGTGAAAGGTGGGCAGGAGAGATCGATTTTCTAATTGAACTAGAAATTTGATCTACAGAGAGCAGCAGTCTGGAAATTCCGTTCTGCTTTTAGAAATGCGAAGTTGGGCTCCTAAAATGGTAGCGATCAGGGGCTTTGATCTTTTTTAAAAACCTTCTGGAGAGATTGGAGGGAATGAAATTTATAGTAATGGGGATCTAGATAGAGATAATCCTTAAATGTTATTTTTTTTTACATTAAGGTCTACAAATGAATTCGAATTTTTTAGCAAATATGAATGTAACTTAATAAGCCCTTCTTTGATTACTTAAAAAAAGATTTTACAATTATTACGCTATTTTATTAGAACTCCTCCTAAAAATTATATCCTAAATTTCATTTCAGAAATATCAATTCATGCAAAAACTAACAAGTGTTTACAGAAATATTTAAAATTAGCAACTTCTTTAAAAAACAGTCTGAAAGTAGTTTAAAATTATTTTTATTTGTACACATAAATATATTTTAATATCACCTTTGAATCCATTTCCCAAACCAATTTACCCACTTAGTAAAGATCTTAAAATAATTTCCCTGATACATTGTTTCTTCCCTCGAGGTACAGTTGCTTGCAATTAAAGTGTTTTATCTGTATGCTTTTTGGTCTTTCAGGTTGAATAATCAAGGTGCCCTGAATAACTTTTGTGAACTTTTGGTCTTTTAAAACACCGGATTTTAAACATGCCTGCAAAAATAGCACACACCTAACATTTTGTAATTTCAGTGGCTTATTTATAGATGATAATATTGCATTAATTTTTTCCTAATATAATTGTTTTGACTTTAAAAAGTGTTTCTCTACCTTATATGTGTCTCATAAACATGACAATGCTTTTATTATGAAGTTAGTAAATAGTCTTAATGTTATTAATTTTGTTTTGTTTTCATATGTAGTCTTCTGTGTCTAATTCTGTGTGTGTCTTTGTGTGTGAGAGAGGGGCAAAAGAGAGGGGGAGGAGGGAGAGAGAGAACAGAGAGAGAGAGAGAGAGAGACCAACTGGAAATATTACTTAGGTCACAACACATTCATTAGGCTTTAAAATACCAAGAGGCTTTGCTCCTTTTCTAACTGAAAATTTAAGTGTTGAATGAAAAGGATTCAGTAGATGCATAGTAATTTCAGTAGATATAGCTAAATAATTAAACAACAAGAACTTGCAAAATCATTTTTAAGAATGGGAAAATCTGCCTATATTCAGTCACTGCAAAAAGAATTAACAATAATTTAACATTTGATGATTACATTTTATCAAGAGTATATTAGCCTTCTCCTCCCTTTCCCCCCTTTTGTTAAAATTAAAATATTGCCTCTAATTAACTTCAGAATATTGCGGAATTATCTTCTCTGTTGTCTTCATTTCATTGTTCTTCTTTTCTATTATATTTCCTTTAACTTACACTACAGAATTCAAAGCACCTGGGGATAATTGATACTTCATTAGAATAAGAATGTTAAGTTGAAAACACCAATTCTCATTTATCTCATTTTCCTCTAATGGTTAACAGCCCAATGTAATTTATTTTTATTAATAAAGCAATCATTTTCATTTCCTTTAATTTTATGTGTCGATGGGATCTCTCGTATGCAATATAAATTTGATAAAAATAATATTTTAAAAACCTTTTAATTTTTTTCTTCTTTACCAAATAAGCCATTAGTTGTATATGGCAAATTTGCATCAACCGTGTACAAAAATCAGTTATTTTTTGTATATTGGAGACATGCTTAATTATTTTATTGTACATTAAAAACATTGTACAACATAGAAACTGATAAAGCAGTTAAATTTCACTTAGTTTTTTTTAAGCTGAAAACTCAATACCTGCTAAACCAATTACTATTTTCCTAAACAGCTGAATTTAAATATAAGAGTTCAGCTGTAGGAATATATCTGTAAATAGATTGCCCAGGAAGATATAATGTATCATAGTTATCCTGTGGTAAGATGAGCAGCCAATAAACTTAATAATAAATAAAAAAAAAATTTCCAGATAATCAAATATATGCTGAAAAATTAGGAAGAAAATGTACAGTTTAAACATCTACAGTTTAAAACTAGTTAAGGTAAGTTCTAATATTTAAAGTTTGTTTGATAATAAACTGTGTATCAGAACTTCAGATGTAAAATAAATAGGAATTTTAATCAGAAAAGAAAAAAATTCACCCTAAACAATTGTTTTGATTATGGAACAAAAGAAGTTAAAGTCTGGGGATTCATTAATTATCTATTCTAAATATGAGATTCATATATCTTTGATTCCAAAATATTTATTTATTATGCATAAGTCATAAGAATCTGTGAAATTTAATGCAATCTCTTTATGAGTTTTTGGTTTTTCCCTTTTCCCATGGAAATTAATAAAATTCAAATCTATATTTTTCTGAACATAGAGTATATAATTAGTAAGATCTAGAAAGAATAACAGCTGTCTTTTTAAAAACTAAAATTTAAGCTGCTTTAATTAATCCAAATATATTTTCCAATTGAAGTGGAACCAATAACAAGATGAGTTTCAATAAATGGACAAAGATAGCCTTAGCCTCCCCTTATCACCTTTGATATTTATAGCACTTTCCATTCTCCGTTTATTCTCACTAGTCACAAC